ACTCGAATGCAATCTATTATTTCTAGTATAGGCAACACTCATGACACATTAACAAAAGCTCAAGTTTTAAGAAATAGTCAGATCTTCAGATTAAATATTCCAGTGACCTCATCAACAAATTAAAAAGTATAAATAAGAAATATAATAGCAGGCTATTTGTTCCAAAGTATGCCTGTCTGTTAGAGAGTGACTAGTTAATCCCTGTTACAAGCTTCTGCTCAGGCAGATCAATACCCAATCTGTCATTTATATTACAACTATACTGACCAGACATTAGTTACTGTTTCTTGGAGTGAGTGTAGAATCTGGCCTGATCAGTTGAATAAGGATAGTATACTTGAACCCTTGGTCACAATGACTTGTGACTTCTTGTGAGCATAACCATCAATAGCTTCCAAACAATTTTACCTGCCTAATGTAACTCACAAGTCTTGGGTTAACCTGTGGTATGGTTTTCAGGCACTTCTCAATGGTACCACATGCTGGGGTTATGCCCCACTCCCCTCACTTCCTTCCTGACTGATATTATCACCTCTTGGAGAAATTCACCATGCTGAGATTCAAACCCAAGTGTCATGGTTCTTGACTCTAGGCCATGTGCCTATAAGATATAAAATACTTATATATTAACCTACCAGTTGACAAATGTCTAATTTTTTTAACACACCATGTAAAATCAAAGTTCTTCTCTCCCAGTCATAAAAATTTGTCAATTTTGTTTCACTATTATAGTTGTTAGAAACAAAAATTTCTCAGCATTGTATTAGTATGCCTTTTTCTAAAATTCTTAAAATCCAGTCCATTTTGAAACATTTTACTCAGATATTAAATACTTTTGTTATATAGATAGAGCCTTACTAATATATGTAAGAAAACTTAATTACTAGATCTTATCAATAAACTAATCAACATTGGACCTAGAATTCACACATGAAAAAGAAACAAATAATACCTTAACTTTTCTTGAGATTCTCTTAAATTTGAATTGATATTGATTTTAAATTACAAGTCAACAACAAAATTACCTCCATAAATTTTTATTCACATCAAGACAATACAACTGGAATAATAAGTTTTATTTCAGAGCCTTTAGAATTTGTAGTCCCAAATATCAAAGAAAAATACATTGAAAATAAACTGAAAATACTTTTAAAATGCTCAACTATCTAGTTATTTTGTATACAATACCAAACGGGGGTGAGTAAAATCGACAAAACCCCAAAAGTTCTTTATACTAAGAACATTCTATTAGCTACATACTTCATAAGTAATGAACTTGAAAAAATTTAGTTAATCTTCAGATAAATATTACCACACACTCTCCAAAAATAGTTAGAAATTCATCTAATTTAACATAAGAAGCAGGAGGAGTTTGCCAAACAGAATATAAACAATGCCTCTTCAAAATACATTGGAGAGTCAAAGAAAAGAAGATATGAGCATAAGAAACTGAAACAGCATATACTTGTGTGTCACTGAAATAATCGTGATCCTCATTTTACCCTGGAAAATACCATTTTTATAAAAACTGAATATAATTCATTCAAAGATGCATTGAAAATGCTATGATCCCTATTCATTTTACAATGACTATACAACCAGGCTGTTCTAGTTTGTCCCTGTTTTTACTAAATTAGTGCAGAAACAACGTAGGATGTGTAAACCTTGGTAGGGGGGAGGTAAATAAATTAAAAAAAAAAAAAAAAACTTAGTTGAAATTTTTATATATATATATATATATATATATATATATATAAATAAAATGATACAGTAAAAGTTAAGTCCTCAGTCACAGGACATGAATCAGATTTTGTTTTACTAATATAATGATGTATACTTATGTTTTATAGATTATGCAAAAGCTTTTGACAAGGTATGGCACGAGGATCTATTTGAATTGGTAGGAAAACTCAATCTATTTGGAAAGGATGTTAGAATAATCCAAAATTTATACTGGGAGCAAACCAATTGCATACGAATAGAAAATGAATTGAGTAAATACACAAAAAAAGAAAGTGGTGTAAGACAAGGATGTATCTTCTCTCCAGATTTATTTGACATCCTGTTGTAGAGTAGTTTTCACAGTGGAGGCTTGTATTTCAATAATTCGTCCTAAATTAGGTTCGATGTACAAAACGTTAGGAACTTGAAATAAGAGTTAATGATGCAGCAATCTAGTTGTGATGGTTGATACTTCAATGTCCGACATCAGCTGACTCACTCAACACCACTGAGCCCAACTGTCCACTGCTACTACTACTATTATCTGTGGGAGAGTCTATTACAATAGAATAGGTATTATGGTATAACACATCTACAGTGAGGTTATCCTAAAGGAGTTGGATATTCTATCAGGGTTTATTATTGGTCAACATAATATTAACAATATAAAATATACAGGTGACAGTGTTGATGGCTGACTTGGAAAGAAAACTACAGTACCTAGTAGACAGGGTGGTTTTAAAAAAAAAAAAAAAAAAAAAAGGACTAGCCATCAAAATCAAGAAAACAGGAAGTCTTAACAAAAGAAAAACTGAAGATGTCAAACTACAGAAAGTTATGTGAAGTGTTTTAATAGAGGATGGAAAATGTGACACTGAAATTCAAACACACATTGGATTAGCCAATGTGCTGGATTGCTATGTGATGTTCATCTTCTTATAAGGCAGTGAATGATGGACAATCTCCCCACAGTTGAGGAGAAAACTGGAGGCAACAGAAATGTGGTTCTACAGAAGAATACTGAGAATTCCATAGACTGAGCAAGTAAACAAAAAAAAAAAAAATTAGTATCACGAAGAAAATTCTGAAATTCCTTGGACATATAATGAGGAAGGAAAGCTTGGAAAACTTATCCCTCACAGGGCATATTGAGGGCAAGAGAGATAGGGGAAGGCAGCAAACCACATACCTGATGATCCTGTATGAATGGATAATGGAACAGGTGGTCAGAGCATTAGCAAAAATAGAAAAAATGCTAAGAGCCACAAGAAATTTACAGAGCCATGGTCACACCCATGCACCTGAAAGTGTACAGAGCATAGAACAAGAAGAAATAAAAATTCTTTTTCTGGAAAGATTGGATCACTGTCTTGCATTTGTATCCCCCCCCCGTGTGTGTGTGTGTGTCTTTGCACATAGTAAATAAATATACTAGCTGCTAAATGAATTGCCATCTAACATAAATTTGTTAAATGGAATCTTTTGAAGCCATGAGAGTGGCTTTCTAATTGTATGCTGTATGTATCAGTCAGATATGAATTGTCACTTAAATACAGTTTTATTTAACTCATGAGCTGAGAGGTACTGCAAAATTATCTGATACTGAAAGCAAATTTATCAATTAGAATGTCTACAGAATAAAGATAAAAGTAGTTAATAGCTTAAAAACATGTTTACTTGAATGTGAATTTTATAGCTTACATTGAGAACGATTATAGAATGATGTGGGAGGAAAGAAACCCATCTCCAAAGAGGTATCCATGCCAGGCTTATTCCATAATGGATAGCATATTTGTTTCTCCCTCGCTTTGTTCCGCTGAGTTTTGTTGGACATTAGTGTAAAGGAGGAAGAAGGGAAAGACAACAATAATAATGTTGGCATTAGAGGTTAGGACACCACTCACCTGGAACATGTATTCCACTTGATGCAAAACAGATCAAGTGGTCTGGTTCAATTTGTAGGTAGTTTTCCTCCCACCTCTCAAAAATAACAATTGTAGGATTTTGTAAGTGAGGGTGGTGATAACAGAACTTGCCTTTTATCAAGCAAAACTGTGCCACCTGCTCTGCTAATGCAAGTGGAACGTGATGTATAATGATTAGGATTTAGGTACCTGGAATTATTGATTTTGATGCTAGACAAGTCTATACTCTTGACTAAAATATGCTGGTTCATTGGGATTTTAAGTTTTGCCTTGCACGTAAGTCATATTAACCTGAAGGAGAAATGACAGTATTTTCTGCCCATTGTTTCATTGGTAGCTTATATTAAGATTGGTTGCTTTTAATGTCTACCCAGGCTTACATAATCATATCTTATTAATGATATTAGCAATGTTTTGTAAGCACTTTCACTGTCTGTTATTTTTGTTGGTTTTCTCTTTTGCAACTTGTCTCTTCAGACTATTATGTAAAATAGATTCCCATCATCTCTCTCTCTCTCATCATAATTGTTGGACCAACAGAAAGTTATTTTCACATTTTCTGTGTCAAGCATAGCACTTTGCCCAAGCTGTTTTATTGGCAATTACTGACTAGAATTTATAATAGATCATCTCTGATAGATCGGACTTGAGCTGTATTTTCTTTTACTATACATTTGAGCATCCCACCCTCTAAATCACTCTGTGATGTTAGTGATTAAAACCATCTTATATCAAAGTTTCCATAATTTTCATGCAACTACTTTTTCTTAAAATTTAATGAAAAAACTTCTTTTGAAATAACTTCATTTTAGGAAATTTCTCTTTGATTAGTGTGTGTATATATATATATATATATATATATAAATTAATAAGCTGGATTTTTTCATAAATTGAAATGTATAAATTGATTTTTATCATTGTTCTGATTTTATAATAAATTTCAAGTTAATTTTCTGCTACCAAAATTTGAACCTGTTGTGATATCATTAAATAGTTTTAAGTTCTTTTATGAGAATCTTGAATGTATCTGCAATAAGAAAATGTACAAGTGATGGTTTAGGAAAGGAAATAAAAAATTTGATAAGTTTCATTATGAAGAGTGTAGACATTAACTTCATGTGTCAAAATATGAAACTAAGAAAAAGATAAGAAATTTAATGAAACTCTTGGTTTTGGGTTTGTCAGCTGATCTCACAACTGATCACTTTTCATGAAGTTAATTTGTGGTGAAAGTGATTTTTGGAATATCATTTTAGATTCTATGTTTGTCTAGAAAATTATTTTTCTCTCCATTAAATGAAAATCTGTTCTCATGAGATTCATTTTTGTTTCACTTGTCCATTATTCTTTCAGAGCGAAAAGATTTGTTGCCTTGAAGGTTGTAAAAAGTGCACAACATTACACTGAAACAGCCCTAGATGAAATAAAGCTACTTAAATGTGTAAGTATTTTTCCTTTTTACATATTTTGGTTACTAAAGGATTAGTAATGATATATGCAAATATTTGTCAGAAAACCTTTGCTTTTGATTACCCCCCCCCCAAACTTGTCAAAAGAAAAAGTAAAGAAAAATCCAGAAAAGAACAAACTTCCATTCCATTTTAACTGTCATAACTTTCTTGAAAATAACTTCAAAAGTTTACTTAGGGTATTTCCCAATTATAAATTGAGTTAAACTTGGATTAATTTGTTGACAATGTCTTTTAGAACAAGAAAATATTAGAAAGAAAGCATTTTATATATAAAACTATGAAGAAACTATTAAGAAGTATTATATGAAGGGGCACTGGAAAGTTCCCAACTCATATCCCAAAATCAGTATTTCAGTCATCAAATTTATTTTCTATTTTATTTTTTTCTGTATATGGCTCTTAGTTATTCCCTTTACTCATCATGTATTAATTTATTTGAGATAATGTTATAATCTTGGTTGTGATAGTCATAGCATTCCAGTCTCATTATATTATCCCTTGTCACTTAATTCATCTTTGTGAAACTGTTTTTGCTTGTTTCACTAAATCAGAATACATGACTTGGACTATCTAACCCAAGTCTTGAATTCATCCTTATCAGGTAACTCAATGCTTTTATTCATTAAGCAGTTGTCCCAATCAGGCTTTGAAGAAATTTAGGACCCTTAAACTATTGTTTGTTATTCAAAACTTTTGAGTATTCATTTCTGTGTTTAGCCAACTTAGGACATTATTAGAATAGCTTAAGCACTGTTTCTTTTAATTGTTTTGTTATTCAATATTTCTCTCTCGCTCACATACATACATATATATATATATATATATATATATATATATATATACACACACACCTAGTTTGGCCAAACTTTCCTGACGATCCGTTTAGGTGAAACCTAGGTAGGTTTGTCTGGCTCACTAGGTGTATCTAGGTCTGCTCTCACGTTGTATTGAGCTCTTTTTGTTAGTTAGTTGTTACTCGTATCGGGGTTTTTTCTTTGGGCTTCAGACCTGCATCTGTGCGATTTTTTTGTCGGCAGAAGTTCATGTTTGTAGCTCTTTCTTTTTTAAAACCTTTTTTCCCTCGAGATTGATTTGATTAGCAAATCAAAATTCGAGGGTTTTTCAAACGAGTCTAGTTATATATATATATATATATATATATATATATAGAGAGAGAGAGATATGGATTGTAACTTTTTATAAAATAATTGATTTCCTGTATCATAATTCCATGAACTTTTGTTAAAAAATAATGAAGGAGGATTTAATTCAGTTTATTTTTTTATTTTTTTTTATTTTTTTAAATGTCACCCTGCCATATGAAATTTATAAAATCATCTATCAGTATAGTAGTACTTCTAGTACCTTCTAGAACTTGTTTTTGTTTATTTATAACCTTTTGTGTTATGCTATATCTATAAACTGTTCAATGCATTAAAAATGCATAAGTGCTGTCCAATTACATCATTAGCAAATTGAAAAATAAAGTTTCTACAAGTTTTCAATTTATTTTTTATTGTATTTATTTATTTGTAAGATTGTATGTTATGCTATAGCTATAAACTAGTAAATTTGTTAAATACTTAAGTACTATCCAATTACATGATTAGCAAATTGGAAAACAAAGCTCTTAATTTTTTTTTTTTAACCCTTATTGCATATATGGTAAAATATATGGTTTGGGCATGACCTTTTGTAAAAATTAAAACAAATTAATGCCTTTTTCATTGCTTTTGAGCAAAAATTCATCAATTTATGACACAGGAACATAGGGTTACTAAAATGTCAAAACTTTTATATATAGGCAACTCCACTGAATTTTTGATACCTCAGGTTTAAAATGAATTTTAAAAAATGAAAAAGCATTCTTAAAGCTTTTATTTTAGTTTTAATTGAAAGCTAAATGCTTAAATTACTATTTCCATTAAGCAAAATTCTGTGGTGTATTTCACATAGAAATTATATTGATTGGAATCTCAACTTTTGGGGTGCTTTTGCAAAATTAGCCATTTCTGACACATTTGTAAACAAAAGTTAATTCTCTGTTTTAAAAATCTTCCAGAAATAAAATATACTTTTCTGAAATTTTATTTGAGGAATATTAGCTGATTTAAAGTATAATTAATCTGATTTGAAAAAAAATATTATTTAAGTTTAAAATAACAAATGAATTTTTTAAACCGAATGGTAGCAGTTATTACACATTTATCACTGTCACTTTTCACTCATAGATCACTTAACAAGTGATAAAATCAATCAGCACTTTTTACTGTTCTACAGAGACTTTATCCGTTAAAACATAATTTAAGAAAATGATGGGTGAGCACCATTTTTGTATAATTTTTAAGTACTCGGTAATCTTAAAAATGTTGGAAAATATTTTCCGTAATCTAATTTTAGGAATGTTGAATTTAAATTTACTATAGTCATCGCTCTTATTTTCTGATTATATCATGTATGGTCGACCATACTTTCAATCGGGCAAGTTATGTAATATTTTAAATACATAAAAAATATTAAAAAATTTTTTCTAAATATTAGATGAAAACGATTTTCGTTTAGCTTTTCAGTTTTTGGTTCATAAATATAGTTTTTTGCTTAACAGTATCACCTAACCAGATTGAAGTAATGCAGAATTTTAAATGATTTATAATATTGTAAATTATAATAATTAAAAATGAAAAAAATGAAAACAGTTTTTGTAAAAATTCATTATTCAAGAAATTTTTTTTTTTCTTGAGACAATAGTGTCCTTAATAAATCTTATTTATAAAAACAATTAAAAGCTTTTCTAATTAAATAATGTCATAGTTTTATTGCATTTTTTTATTTTACAATTTGGAGCAGATTCTCAAGAAATGAGTATTAGTTTGAAAAAAAAATTTTTTTTTACATTTTCCAATAAAACAAATTTTGAGATTGTAATTTAATTTCTTGAAATTTCATGAAATTAAGTAAGGGGTGGGGGTGTTGTAATACATTTGTAAGAAAAAGAAAAAAAAAAAAAAAAATTACCAAGATTTTCTTTAAAAAAAAAATTTAAAAAAATAATTTCATTCATTTGTGAATAAGTTATGAAACTTTCATTAAAATTAAAAAAAATTATCAACTGCTGAAATAAAGATTTTTAACCAAAATTTCAAACATGCTAGAAGAGATTAAAAATTTATTAAAATAATAAAAAAAATACTTTCGTCTTTCCTTTTAATAATAACATAAACATTTTGACAATAAAACTTTGTGATCATGGGAAGCTGGTCTTAGCTTTGTATCGCTTGCCACAGTTGTATAAAATTTGAGTTTAACAACCATGATGAGGACAACAACTCATTACTCTTTAAACAAAAAAAAAGAAATTAAAAGTATGAAAGCTTGTAAATGATTAACATATGATATTGATGCTGGAATGATACCTGAAGGCTGTCTTACCCATTTGAATAATGTCGAAGGTCATTCTAGAGAAACCAATTAAGTTCTATTTTGTTTCCAAGATAGTAACATTATGACTGAAGACAATCGTCAGTTGATCTATCACGATTGTAGTATTGGCTTTCATCTGTGAAGCAAATGTTAATCTATAGGCGGCAGCATAAAGTGAATCTTATCAAGTGACGAGAAACTGCAATTAATTTGGTCTATTTATATAAACCTCTTGTGCCAAGAACAATTGTTCAAACAGTTGCAAAATCTGTCCCAAACAAAACCTATTTTCTTTGGTTTTATTATTAGAATCATTTCACTTGATTTTCATTATTTTCTACTCTTGAGAGATCAAAACACATGTTGCTTAGAAAATCATTAGCACAAGAAAAATAGCTAGTCTTTTGTGGTCAATCAGTCTTGAAATGTCTAATCATGTATCTATCTAAAAATATAATCTCTATTTTGTATTGTCAATATTCAGTATGCACTCTGAAGTTGAAAGGAGTTGGTGATGGCCTCTTTGATCAATAGAAGTTAATATCTCTTGAGAATTGCACCTTTTCTCACCATCTGAATTATTAAGCCTGCTCCTTTCACCATCTAAAGAAACAACTATTCATGTTGATAAATGAAATATCAGCAACTCTGAAAAGGATATTTTTGTCTGAAATATGAAAGTGCTTAAAGATTGTTTAAAACAAATATCTGTGGCCTCAGACTTCATCCTTTAACAAATCAATTGCTTCTTTCTCTTGTCTATGCTCTTTGTATTATTGATGGTCATAGAGCAAATATTGCAGATTTGTATATTCCGTTGTGCCTTTCAAAGGTCCTAGAAACTCACTTCTTGTCTTAGTCTTGGTTGTGTTAATGAAAACAGTCTACTCTTTTAGAAAATGACTTTGTCAATACAAATCTAATATTTATCCATAATTTTGAAAAGAACTACACTCTACAACCTTGAAATTATTTATAAGCTTTTAGTTTTTACTTAAAAACACAATTTCACTTGTCTTTTTTTTCTATGAAAATTGAAATAATTCTTCATTCTTCCTTTGAGTTATTTCAGCTGGGTTCATATTAGAAATTCAGAGTTTGTTTTTTATATCCCAGTCTTTTGAATATTATGGATTGTTCAAATTTTAGCTGCTGCTAGCTCCACAGTCATCTACTTTGGATTCAGAGTTGTCCTCCTCTTAATCTTTGGCTGGTTGCCAAATAAGGCTAGAAAATCCAGTCAGCCTTTCTATTTTATCTATAGCTGAGGAGGGAACAGATAGATTCATACCTGAAAAGTTATTTTTTTATTTTTTTTTTTTTGTTGTTCTCTTTAGGTTACATGCTTAGAGGAAATTAGAGCTTCAAAGAAAAATTTGATTCTAAAGAAAATGTTTATTCAGTTATTCATTTGGGTGCATTTCTACTTCAAACATGAATCTTAGGGGCACACTTATGATAGTTTCACCAATAGAATCTATATCAATATTATTTTATATGTCTTGTTCAAGCAAATCCCAGATTGTATCCTGCAGTGACTATTTTGAAC